TCAACATTTTAAATCTTGCAGTATATTCTTCTTTTACTTAAATAGAATGCGTATTGCATCTGAAAAAAGGTGCCCTTTATTTCTCTAAGGCCGTGTGTAGACCAGAAAGTTAGCAGGTTGTACAGCTAGGCAATCTAGGGTTAAGAACTATCTGGTGAATATCCTTGTGACTTAAATGTACCAGGCATCAGTTCCTCCTCTGTGAAATAAATGAGGCAATATCTGCACTGCACTCCCTAGGATCATGGTGAGGAGCCAATGCATGTAAAATGCTGGGAACATTGTTTGCCATAAAAGCATTTAGTAGCTATTCCCTTTTCTCTTCCTCTCTCCCTGGGCAGCAGATCACCGCCATTCTCTGGTGAGCCCTGAGGAGCATCATGAAATTACTCTACAACTTTCTCTACTACATGCTCATCAACTTCAATTTTTAAATGTCATCCTTTTTGCTCTTACTTTTCAATCCTTGAATCTTAACATGAGAACTTAATTTTCAAAATAATTTTTAGAGATGTGTTTTGCAATTTGGGGCCATTTCATGCAAAGTAAGCCCCCCATAATTGACTGGTACATTTTATGTTGCTGTGCACCTAAACTTCTTGGTCTAGGTTGTGGGTCCATAATTGAGGTCTCCGTTATGGTGACAAAGGCAAAGTGGAGCAGTGAGCCGATCATCTGGACTGTGATGGCCAGGAATGTTCTGGCGATAAGTGCTTGCTTAACTGAAAGACAAAGCCTGCTTTTGTGCAAGTTCTCTGCACCTCGACCTTCACTTTGGGTAGACACTTTCTCAGACCAACTGAGGTCTGCCGCACCATTTTAAGAAAGGAAACATTTCAGACCAGGACTGTTTTTAAAAGCTGTACACAGGGCTCTTGGCAAATAGACTGTTGGATTGGCTGACTGCTGGCAGCTTTGCATATTGGCTGCATGAACTTATGTACAATTTCAGATTGAAGCCACATATGAAGTAATTGTGAAGCCACACAATTCATCCTTCAAAATCTGCCATGTGGTGGTTCTTGTCTGCTCCAACTATGGAATCGCTAGAAACTGTGATGATTAAAGCTTTTCTAAAAATCATTAATTAATTTTCATTTACTTAGAATTTATTATTATATCTATGATGAGGAAGATCAGTATTTTAAATGCCTAGGAAATGGAATACAAGAACGAAACAACTACCATAGTAGAGTTTCATTCAGAGATTTTTCCCCCCTTCTTTTCCTATAATTACTCATAGAACAAGATACTAAGACAGAGAAGGGAAATTCCAGAGTAAAGTTTCAGGGCTGAAAGAAGCCCCATAGATTTAATCCAGCTCTGTGATTTATAGGAGATGAAATAGCCCTGAAAAGATTTTCAGTGACTTTTCTTGTGGCAGGTAGTTAGCCTAACCATGGCTTTGTGTTATTGTGTTTTTGTATGAGTCAAGTCAGTACTAAAAGCCACAAGACTCTCAGCAAAAGAAGAGTCCTCTTCCTGGGACCTGCTAGTCATTCTGTCCATCACCATCCTTTATGCTTCTTACAGTGCTTAGTCTCTGAAGTTGCACTCTAGTTTATAATTCTGTTGTTTGTCACTTTCTTTAAAGTTCAAGCTCCAGAAAGGCAGAGACTTTGATTCTTGTTCACTTTTTATAATTAGAATGATTGGCACATAGTAGGTCATCAGTAAATACTTGTGGATTGAGAGAGCAGAGCTAAAGAGGAAAGGAACCCTTTTTGTTATGCACCTGTCATGCTAGGGCACTGTGGCAAGTTCTTTATGCCTGTTACACAAACTTAAGAGGTAGATGATGTGCTTGGGGTCTTGAAACGAGGTAAAGAGAATTCAAAGCCAGGGACAGTTCCCTTCAAATCCCAACATTTGCCACCACAAGAAATTACTTCCACTGTTCAGTGGTTCCCGCTCTGTGACATACTCCATGACCTCTTCCCCAGACATCTAAAGTTCCCCAGATGTTAAGCATGTGTTTGGCATCCTCCTTTAGTTTTTATCTATTTGTGCCACAGCCATAAGAGTCTCCAGAGAAATCAACCTGAATACATTTATTCAGCACATTGAATACTCTCGGTTGCTGTTTCTCTATATAAAGTATATTGAGTAACTTCTTTTAATAGATACTATATCTTACTTCTAACTTGTTGATGAATTCTATTGAGTTGTACTAATTTTCATTACAGAGAAAGAAATCTTCCCATCTGCTGATCACGGAAGCCTGATGCAATCAAAGGGGTTGATGAGAAAATGTTGAGATGCTCCCAAGGCTTAGAAGGTGACATATGCCAAAAGATGAAGAAAGCACTGGAATATCAACAAGATAGTAAATAACTCTGAAATACTGTTGATTCTAACTACAGGATAATCCACAGATTTGCGTGGCAAAAGAAAGCCAAATCTCTTGTCCTTAACAGGACATTTTACCTTTTTTAGGTGAAGGTCATATCAGATATGACAATTTCCACTTTTCCCAGATTAGAGAACTGGCTGAGGAAACAGTCAAAGCTTGACACACATTGGAATCATGTGGAGAATTTACTAACAAAGGGGCACAAGTACCTGCATTGGTTAATAAGGTATTGACAGTGACAATTATCATTGGTTAGAATCTCACTCTTCCCACAGGGCAGGTGTAGACCTGACCATTTTACAGATCAGCAAGAAAAGAAAAGAATATAGGGTCATGGGAAAAGCCCTGGATTTGGAATCCGAAGACCTGTTTAGATCCCAGTCCTGTTAAAGTCTAGGTGTGTGGGTTTGAGCAAGTTTCTTCATGTCTGAGTTTTGGATTGCTGGTCTGAAGTCATGGAGGTTAATTAACATTCATGGAGATGGGCACTGGGAGAGTTGATAAAGCAATGCATGAGAAAGAATCCAAAAACAAAGGGGAAGGGGGAGGTGGTTAAAAAGTGGACTTTCTCACTTACCATCAAAGCAGATCATTTACTTCCAAATCTCAGCCCTGCCTGTCATCTAGCTGTGTGGCATGGGTGAATTAACCTCAATTGGCTTCATTTTTTTCATATGTGGAAGAGACTAAACAATACCCACAGGTAATCCCAGCTGAAGCTTGCTATCATAACTCCTATGCTCTAGTAAGGGAACAGAGGCCCAGGGGAATTAAGGAACCAAGCCAGGATCCTACAGAGGCCAATTTGGCTTGTGTTCCCAGGCACTCTGGACTCAGATCCTGTGCTCTGTGGCAGGGACGACCCCCCCAACACACACAGAGCAGGTGAGGACGCCTGGCCAATCAAGGGCTCAAGATGTGGCACATACTCAGTAAATATTTCCTAATACTTGAACAATTTCCTTTCACATTCCAGGCAGCAGCCAACTCATTTAGCTATTGTCTGTGGAAATGCGAGCTTGATTAGGGTGCATAAAAATGACAAACATGTTTACCTAAGACAGCACTGTTTCTCATTTGGTTTGCATTGCTGTCAGTGCACTAGGCATATGATACCTATCTATTAGGTAAAGGGGAGAGACAGGTTAGAGATCAGCTCAATCTAAAGGCCAAGATGACTTCCTTATTGAAGGGCTAGCCTAGGATTGGGTTGTTGTTATAAATTCCCAATAACTGAAACCTTTCCACTACCTGGTGGCTTTGAACTTTGAAAATGCCTCAAGCACGTGATGATGGTGATCATAGATGTCCTAAGAATGGGACTCCACTCATCCGGGATGCCTGTATGTGAACCAAAAGCACTCAAAGAGAAGAAGAGAAGTCAGATCATCAACTAGAGTCAAAGGCAATTATTTTTGTTCATTTGGGAGCATTTAGCGAGCGGAGGGAGTGGAAGGGAGCACTATGTAGGCGGAGGTGGTGGAGCCTTACTATTTAAATCACATATAGGGACACACTGCAAGATGGAATCTGATAGTGGAACACAGGGTGAGATCTTGGGACATAGGTTCCATGCAGTCATAGAACTTGGAGCCCTGAAAAGGGACACAAGCCAGGTTTGGTGTCATATGCCTGTAATACCAGTACTATGGGAGACTGAAGCATGAGACTGGCAAGTTCGAACCTAGCCTGAGCAACTTAGCAACACCTTGTCTCAAAAAAAAATAAAGAAGGGGCTGTGAGGATATAGTTCACTGCAGAGGTCCTTGTTCATTCCCCAGTTCAACTACCAAATAAAGTAAGACACATGTAGGGTCTTGTGGAGCAAAATTTCATCAAAACAAAATTATTTCCTTTAAGTTAGTTTTACTCCCTCATTTACTTCCCAATCGTTAGCCACAATCCGATTTAAAATACTTGAAAAAGAAATACACTAATACCGTGCATCATGTATGAAATTATGCAATGCATTTCTATAATTGCTATTAATTAGAACCCATATTTTTACCAACAAAGGTTAGATACTCAGGCTCCTATAGTGCAATGATTATGTTATCCCCCACAGTAACAGGGCACGATGAGCACATTGATTAAATTGTAAAATACAGAGTAAATCAGCACTCTTAACCAAAAATAAATTGAGCATGGATTTTTTTTTTTAACACTGCAAAGAAATCACAGAACAATATCAACTTTAATGCTTCCTTTTTTCTCCGTGAAACTCCTACAGTACATGAAAGGAAGGAAGCATGTTAAACTCGAATTGCACAGGCACAGCCTTGATGACAATTCTGTTTTTCAGGAGGAGGCCACAGAGTCACCGGGCTGTGTTTCACCGTTTGTGTCTCACAATGTCTGTGTCCTCTTCAGCCTAGATCTGCAGCTAGGAAGGAGCGTGACCAACGAGAGCTTTTCAAAACAAACCCTTCCCCATCACAGCCACGCCAGACGACTTTCACTTTCCCTCTTTGGCACAGCGGAAGCATCCCCCAGAGATGCTTTATTGACTAAGCCTCAGTCACTAAACACCCCGAACATCGGAGAAGACACAAAGAGAATAACACCACCATGAGCCAAAGGACTCCTCTCTAGGAGGAGAAAAGCATGAAGATACTCGCATGGAAGAGAGCACGGAAAGTTTACTTACAGTGCTCGAAGGACCGTCCAACAGCTGGGCTCTTTGAACTCAGTGCACACAGATGTGGAGCATTTGCTCAAAATCCTCTATCCTCTGGCAGCGAGGAATACTCATAACTCTGTGTGGCTTCAGATTGATAAGTAATTTCCTGATTTGTTTTCAAAAGTGTTCTCCCAGGCTTTGTACGGTGGCAGAGAAAGGGCGCGTGCAAGGCTAAGGCATGCAGTGAAGTCGTGACCACCCAGCCCTCCAGATTGCTTGAAGGAGGCTTGTGGACAAAAATAAATATCCTCTCCTATCTGCTGGCTCGCTCCCCAAATCACATTTGGGAACAGTGCAGTCTTGACAGTGTTTGTTTTAAAAGTGTAGTGTTGAACGCTTTCTCATCTTTCATACTGGGGAAACCAAGGCACTTCTAGCTGGTCTTTGGAGACCAGTTGTTGTGATCGTTTCTTACCAGCCATTTAAAAGGCCATCAAATTCAGTCCCATCTGTGGACAGTGGAAGGAATGAAGCACAGGGCTTGCAAGACTCCATTAGGAGTCTGGAACAAAAGAGCCTCGTGATTGATGAGCCAGTGCTCTGCCCATGTCTAGGAGGCTACAGTAGACCCAGAAGTTTGAGATCTGGCTCCTGACCTCTAGGATATATGTTGCTGAACAAGGTCTTTCAGGTTAGGAGCCTCAGTTCTCACAGCTACAAAATGGGATTCATGAGAGTGATCCTTGCTTGGTCATATAGTGAGGTGACAGCTGTGAAAGATGCTCCTCAACAATGGAAGCTATTGTGCCACGCCATGGAACTTCATCAGCACAGCCCCATCCATGTACACCTTTGCTCCTTCCCGTTTTCATATTGCTTTTGATATTATTCTCCATGATGGAAGAAGCCACTGAGAGAGTTTTGTATGAAAAATAGAATACTGGGGTAGAATCTGGAGAAAATTTTTGGCCTTGGAAAACCAGGCTGAAGGGTATATTAGTTACTTTTCTGTTGCTGGGACCAAATATGTGACATACATGACTGAAGGGAGAAAAGGTTATTTTGGCTCATGGCTTCAGATGTTTCAGTCCATGGTTACTGGCTATGAGGCAGAAAAAGCATGATGGAGGGGTGTGGTGGAGCAAAGCTGCTCACTTCATGGTGACTGGGAGCAGAGAGAAAGCAAGAAAACCAGAGAGAAGAAGGCACTAGGGAGAAGAATTCGCCCTTCTGGGTCATGGCACCTGTGACCTGCCTTCTCCATGCAGGCCCCCCCCCCCCCCGCCAAGGTAATAGCATATTCAGCTATGAACTCATTCATGGATTAATTCACTGATGAGCTTAGCACCTCCATGATCCAATCACTTTCTAAAAGCCCCACTTCTGAACACCTGAGTCTTTTGGGAAATAATTTAGATCAAACCATAACAGGAGCATTTGGTGCAGAAAGAATACTGAATCTGGACACAGAAATGTCTGGGCTCAGGCACTGTCTAGAACACCTACCAACTAAAGGATCCTGGAGTCCTTGAAACATTCTGATCCATTTTTTCCCTTTCTGGGGACACAATCCCTCATTTCACCTGGCTCGCTTCATTTTGCTATGATGAGGGCCTGTTGGGGGTGACTAAGTCGTGAGGATGATGCCCACATGAGAGAAATCAGTGAATTTACTTACAGAAGGACTGCACAGCCCTTTGGCCCTTCCACCCTTCTGCCACATGAAGACACATGGTTTGTCCTCTCTGGAGGACACACAGCAACAAGATGCCAACTGGGAAGCAAAGGGTGGGGCTCACCAGGCATCAGACCTGCTTTTGTCTTGATCTTGGACCTCCTAGCTTCCAGAACTGTGAGAAATAAATTTCTATTGCATTACAACTGGACTACAACAGAGTTGAATGTCCAGAATCCAACTCACAGAAAAAATTGTTGATGGGATGGTTCCATATCTACTATCCATGTCATTGTGGCATTGGCTACTACTGCATAACTGGAAGAAATTGGTTAAAATTAGTGCTCCTGGCTTCTACCTTGACCTTAGTTTCTTCTCTTTTCATTTTTAAGGAGCATCTTTCACCCCTCTTCATCTGTCATCTTCATCGTATTTGTCCCCTCATACTTGCCACTATTAGTTCTCTTTGTTAGAGTTCGAATTGTCTCTCCATTTCTCATGCAACATTAAGCATGAAAAAAAGAGAAGGAAACATTTTCCCCTGCCACATAAAAGTATCCACAGAGGCTTGCCCCCGACAGGGCCATCTTTACCATTGTAAGTAACACAAATACCAAAGGAATCAAGATTAGCTTCCTCTTTAAAATGTTCAAGCCCCGAATCTAGCTCATATTTAATTATTCCATTCACTTCCTTTGGCCTTTCATACACTCATTCTTTAAATGTCATTTCTGTTAAGATTTTCACTCTGTCATCTGTAAGAGCAATTTTCTGGTTAAGCCTTATCTTTGTCGTCTTCGGGTGCCACATGAATGCAGGGGGCTGTGTGTTGCACATTTCAGTCTACAGCAAATGTGTAGAAAGTGAGAGAAGAGAGCTACAGGGACATTACTTGTTTCTTCTCTCGTGGAATCCTTAAAGCAAATTGGGAGGTTGGGGGTGACATTTACAAAGCCACAAAGCTAATAGGAGGAAGTTTCCAAATGTAAACTGTGATGACCAGAACACTACTCTTTCCACAGTACATTGCACTCGAGCTTTTTTTTTGAACCTCTATTTTTCCTTCTTACTAATTCCATAGTCAGTTGCGTTGAGACAGGACATAGTTGTCCTCAGCACTGTAAGAAGGAAAAGGGAGCAGAAGGAAGCCCTGTGGATTTGCTTTGGGTCCTCACTGAGCTGAAGCTGACAGATGGGGAAAGGCAACCTAGAATGCCCTCTCCTCAGTTCCTTCCCAACCTCCTCTGTGTTGATAAATCCTCCTCAGTTCAGACTCAATTGCATGTTCCTTCTTTGGGGAAGATTCTTCACCCTGTTCCTCACTACCTTTGTTCTCCCTTGCTATATTTTCATATCTCCTATACTTTAGCTTCATAAATTTTTCTCCTTTTATCATATTTAGGACTATATACATGTTTTATCTCTTTAGCGGTTTATCTCTGTAGTGGTTATAATAGTATTTCTATATTTTCAAGATAATTTGTATACTGTCTCTCTCCTTTATTAGTCTTTTAAGCTCCCTGGATATTTTACTCACCAAGGTATCTGTAGTCATTAGAATACTAATATGACAGCCTATGGGGAAGAAAGGGAGAACATAAATAGTAGTGAAAATGTGCTATGCAATTCACCTGCAGGAGTGAAGAACTGCAAGTGTATGCCTAAGAGCACAGAATCCTGGGCCCTTTATTAAGTCCTCTGTACCAAACATGTACAGAGGACTTAATACGGTACTTTTTAAAAAACATGTACTTTTCTGTTTTGCATGCAGATGTAAGGGTTAGCTAATCAAGGACGAGTTTCTCGGAGTAAAGAGAGGCAGCTGGGGAACAGGGCTTGGAGCCCATCTGTGGGTCTGCTGGTCAACCTATGGACTGGTGCAATGTCAGTGTGGCCTAGATGTCTGCACCATGGGAAGGTCATTATTCATTCTCTTTTGAGAGAGAAAGGACCATGCTGGGAATTTGGCTTATTTATGAATTTATTTATAAACTGAAATTTTTTATTAATTATCTTTTAATCTCCTTTCAAAGTCTAGATCATGAACTTCCAACATCTGTAACTATCAGTGGGTTGGGATCTATGTGTTCAACTGAGTGTCATCCCTGGCCCTGACCTCCCCTGCCCCACTTCTCTCAGAATAGAGACTGGAAGCCTAGAACTACATTTCCTAGAATCCTGTGAAGGCAGAGTATCAGTCAGGGTTGTCCAATGAGGGCCCCATGAGGATGTGAACGATAATACAGAAGTGGAGGTTATTACTTTTGATGGCAGTTGCAGACAGAGTAAGGACAGTCAGCACATGTGAGGTTTGCAGCAACTTCAGCTGAGATTCTCCAACCACATACTTCAGAGTGGCTTCCCCGCAGTCCAGTACTTTTGGGTTTACAATAAAATGGCACAGTTTTTCTCCAACTGTTGCTTTCACAACCTCTTAAAGGAAATACTTTTTTATTTAGAAATAACTACAGACTCCTGGGATATTGCAGAAACAAAAGCAATCAAATAACAATGAAAACCCAAACTAGCTCACTCAGTGTGACATCTTATATTGCTATAATATAATAATAGCAAAACAAGAAATGACAATGGTGCAACTATGGACTAGCTACAGAGCTTATTTTGTTTTCAACCAGTTTTTTTTTTTTTTTTTGGTACCAGGGATCAAACTCAGGTCCTTGCAATTGTGCAGCAGGCAGTGAAACCACTGAGCTAAATACCTGGTTCAACCAGTTTTTAATAGACTCACTTGTGTTTTTTTTTTTCCTTTGGTACCAGGGATCGAACTCAGGACCTTGAGCTTGAGAGGCAGATGCTGGGGCCACTGAGCTAAATTCCTGGCCTTCACTTGTGTGTTTTGTAATCAAATACAATTTGATTCTGTGTACAAGTTTTCTACAACTCTTTCAATTTTTTAATGCTTTTATTTCTTGTCTTAAATCTCTATTTAGAGTGACACTGATTTCCCCAAGTAAATGCTAACTGATATGATTTCCTGCTGTAGCTCACATTTGAAATGGTTCAGTAAAGTTTTGTTGCTTGCATTCTATAATGTTCTTTCATGTATTCAATTAAAATATTGTTCATTGACATTTCTTCACATCCTTTTTGTAAACCCAGGGCATCATCACATTTAAATCACTATAACAGATTTTAGGCTTTTTGTTGGCTTTTAGTTGCTCCACTCTCATATATGCACTAATACAATAGCAGTGGGGGACCTAAATTTCCCACTGTCACAAACAGATAGATCAACTAGACAAAAAATAAGCAACAAAATACTAGAACGCAATCAAACCCTTGAACAAATAAACTTAACAGATGTTTACAGAGTGTTCCATCCCACAAAATCAGAATACACATTCTTTTTGGCTGCAAACAGGTCTTTCTCCAAAATAGACCACATACTCACTCATAGAACATGTTTAAGTAAGTGCAAAGGAACTGAAGTTATTCCCTGCATATTATCAGACCATACTGCAATGAAATTGGTGATCAATAGCAAAAGAAACCACAAAAATTTCATAGAAACATGGAAATTGAACAACACACTTCTGAATAACCAGTGGGTCACAAAGGAAA